AATATATGAAAGTTTCATTTTTATCATTACATTATGGAAAATAATGACCTTTATCACAATATGCTAATTTTTTTAGAAGGACCTGTACTTTAAGTAATCATCTTCTGTATGACCTTATTAGTTTCACATGGTTATTGGAGAAGAAACTTTCATCTGAAAGACTTCATCAGTCTGAGGTAGAGCTGCAATTTCTGACCCGAGCCCAGGCCCGGCCCAACCCAAAATTTGGGCTGGGTCGGGCCAAAATTATGTGCTTGATGGACGGGCCGGGTCGGTCTCAAGTTTTTGACTCAGTTTTACGAATCATACAGCACAAAGAAAACTAAATAAGAATGCACAATATAAAATTGTGTTAATCTACTTGTAGAAGAGGAGGCAGTACGTTTACACAGTATGTTGAGGATGAGGAAAAAAAGAAAATGGAGTGCAGCAGTTAATCAAGTCTGTGAAAAGAGACTAGTGCTGGCGCATTGCGCAACAATTGTGCATGTGGCCCCGCCCGCCCTGCTTTCATCACACATCTGAGAATTTGCAGCTGACCCACAACAAGCGACATAATGGAGCTGGAAAAAGTATTAAACAAAAGCTAAAAATGGGAGAACTCACTCTACAATGCCAGCACAGTGAAACCTGTTGACGTGTTTCAGGTCAGGTGCACGCTCAGGTCTGACCGGCCAGATGAAAGAGATAAAAAAGTCTTTAGCTTCAGATGGATCACCGGATCATCGGCCATGCAAGTTTGCTAACCGGCCGGTTGAAAGAGATAAAAATGTAACAAAAATGTCTCATTAAGCTTCAGATGGATCACCGGATCATCGGCCGCGTGCATCTAGCTCTGCACCTGCGGTCATCTGCAGTGAAGGAAGTTGTATCATCTGAAGCTACAAAAGCCGAAGTGAGCAGCACGTTCAATTAAAATAGCCTTGTCCTATATTTAAAAAAAAAAAAATTGCTCTAAAAATACTTTTGTTCATCTGTAAAATAGCCTGTCTTTAGACTATAGTTGATTTTTTTAGGCTATTAGTTTTGTTTGTCAATATCCATTTGGTGACTTGTTAATAAACAAGAAATCTTATATCTTCCTTTCTTTGAAATAGGTTTTTAACTCATGTCAAACTGATTTGCTTACAAAGGCAGTAAAAGCTTAATAAAAAAATAAAAACATTCGGGTTTGGGCCTGTAATTACAGTTAATTGGTCGGGTGGGCTCGGAAAAAATGGCTATGAGCTGGGGCCAGGTCAGGTCGGACTTTTTAGGCCCGAATGCAACTCTAATCCGAGGCCTGCCCACCAGGACTGTCATATAAATAGCACCTTTTTAAAAATGGTTCAAGTCAGCCTGCTGTGGAATACCGGAAACTAGCTATTCACATGTAAAAAGAGGACCATCAGTCAAAACTATTGATCATCAGTGCATAACAATCTTAAGGCCTGATGGCCACTTGCTCTTCACTGATGGAGCTCGACGACAACCTAGTCAAAATGGTTCAAAAAGTCCTGATGTACAAACCGGATTCCAAAAAAGTCGGGACACTAAACAAATTGTGAATAAAAACTGAATGCAATGATGTGGAGATGGCAAATGTCAATATTTTATTCGTAATATAACATAGATGACAGATCAAAAGTTTAATCTGAGTAAATGTAACATTTTAAAGGAAAAATATGTTGATTCAAAATTTCACAGTGTCAACAAATCCCAAAAAAGTTGGGACAAGAAGCAATAAGTGGCTGGAAAAAGGAAATTGAGCATATAATGAACAGCTGGAAGACCAATTAACACTAATTAGGTCAATTGACAACATGATTGGGTATAAAAAGAGCTTCTCAGAGTGTCAGTGTCTCTCAGAAGCCAAGATGGTAAGAGGATCACCAATTCCACCATTGTTGCACAGAAAGATAGTGCAACAATACCAGAATGGTGTTACCCAGTGTAAAATAGCAAAGACTTTTAAGTTATCTTCATCAACCGTGCATAACATCATCAAAAGATTCAGAGAATCTGGAACAATTGCTGTGCGTAAGGGTCAAGGCCATAAAACTCTACTGGATGCTCGTGATCTCCGGGCCCTTAAACGTCACTGCACCTCAAACAGGAATGCCACTGTCAAGGAAATAACAGAATGGGCTCAGGAATACTTCCAGAAAGCATTGTCAGTGAACACAATCCACCGTGCCATCCGCCGTTGCCAGCTGAAACTCTACAGTGCAAAGAGGAAGCCATTTCTAAGCAAGCTCCTCAAACTCAGACGTTTGCACTGGGCCAGGGGTCATTTAAAATGGAGTGTGGCAAAATGGAAGACTGTTCTGTGGTCAGATGAGTCACGATTTGAAGTTCTTTATGGAACACTGGGACGCCATGTCATCCGGACCAGAGAGGACAAGGATAGCCCAAGTTGTTATCAACGCTCCGGTCAGAAGCCTGCATCACTGATGGTATGGGGTTGCATGAGCGCTTGTGGCATGGGCAGCTTGCATGTGTGGAAAGGCACCATTAATGCAGAGAACTATGTTCAGGTTCTAGAACAACATATGCTCCCATCTAGACATCATCTCTTTCAGGGAAGACCCTGCATTTTTCAACAAGATAATGCCAGACCACATTCTGCAGCAATCACAACATCATGGCTACGTAGGAGAAGGATCCGGGTACTGAAATGGCCAGCCTGCAGTCCAGATCTTTCACCTATAGAGAACATTTGGCACATCATAAAGAGGAAGGTGCGACAAAGACGGCCCAAGACGATTGAACAGTTAGAGGCCTGTATTAGACATGAATGGGAGAGCATTCCTATTTCTAAACTTGAGAAACTGGTCTCCTCTGTCCCCAGACGTCTGTTGAGTGTTGTAAGAAGAAGGGGGGGATGCCACACAGTGGTAAAAATGGACTTGTCCCAACTTTTTTGGGATTTGTTGATGCCGTGAAATTTGGAAACAACAGATTTTTCCCTTAAAATGATACATTCTCTCAGTTTAAACTTTTGATCTGTGATTTGTGTTCTATTCTGAATAAAATATTAGATGTTGGCACCTCCACATCATTGCATTTAGTTTTTATTCACAATTTGTTTAGTGTCCCAACTTTTTTGGAATCTGGTTTGTAATTATTCAGGCAAATAAATCACAAAAAGTAGTTAAAACAAATCGTTTTAACTCTTTTTTTTTTTTGCTTGGATGATTACGCTTACATCAGGACTTTCTATACTAGAAGTTTAATGGTTTGTTCAGATGCATCTTTGCAAACCTAACTGGTCAAGTCTGACATTCAGCTTTTGTTTTTGTTGGTTTTCTCCAAACACCGCATGGTCCAACTATAAGGAAAACTTTCCGTGACAGAAAAAATTTGCTGACGGAAATGTTGTATCCTTGAATGTAACAATCTCTTTGTAAAATAATAAACTTCAGGTGCAGACAAGTTTTTTTTTCCCTTGCAACACTGATGGGAAGCAAAACTTACTTCTCTATGAAAAGTGATGTTATCTTTAGACCCTGACATTATGCTGACATACAAAAGCTGCAGTGCAGTAATGTCTGCTTTTACTGAGGTGTTTGTTGTCTTGTATTGTTTCTGGTCTTGTTTATCTCCTTAAATCCATAAAAAAAACTGTAGTGTGTACTTAGTGTTTTACACACTACTTTTAGAATTCAGATTAGTTTTTGTAAAAAATAAATAAAAAACAAACATGTAGCATGTATATATTTTGCATTATTATGTTATAAATGTTGTGTCACCTTGTCAAACTTAGTCCTGTCTGCTACGTCTAGGTCGGAAGCAGACATGTTGCCCATGTCCAGCAACGAGGAAGACTGGGAACGGCGACTGTTGGAGCCCTGCACCGTCAGCTTGTTCAGACTGGAAGTGGAGCCCGTTAGCTTCCCAGAGCTGCCGTGCAGGCCTGATACAGCCCGGCAAACACAGTACAGAGGAAGGATGGTTTTAGAGAGAAACATTCAAACTGCAGGTTAATAAAAGAGGATTATGACATCTAAGGATTTAAACTCATTTTAAAAATATAGGAGAAAACTGTTAGCTTTTTGGCATTAATCATAGAATTAGAAAATGTGATGAAGGAATGAAAAACATTGAAAAATGAGCACACACCAAGCAGTTACATGGTGAGGTACTGGTTGGAAGGGCACAGTGATGAGAAGCACAGTGACAAAAAGACAGCTCCTTTCAGATATACTTACTTTCTGTTTCCTGTTTGAGTGCACTCTCTTTCCGCGGAAGCGTGGCTGCAGCCAGTTAGAAAGGCAGGCATCAAAGACACAAACAAATTAAGCTTAAAACATGCAGCATGGGAGAGGTGAGGCTTAGTTGTTAGATGTACCAAGTTATAGACATTCATGAGCACTGCAGTGGCTTAGAAGTTCAGACAAACCTTTGGAAAACAAACAATTTATTTTTGTTTTCAGAGGTAAAATCTAAGACAGAACACAGAAAGCAAAGTTCTATAATTCTGCCAAAACCAAAGCTCAACCAAGGGTCCTATTTAGATGTTAAATACAGATTTGACATGAACAATGCCTGTGCAAAGGGAAGAGAAAACATTATTGGAAAATATAAAAAAGAAAGACTTTCAACACCTGAAATGCATATATAAGTTTGGTAAAATATGTTGAGATACGTAACAGCCAAAACACAGAAAAGGTTGTAAAAATGTGAGTCATGGTTTGTTTCATTCATCTGAAATATTACATTCATATTTGTGAGGCAACGACACAAGAAAGAACGTTCAGTCACACACATAGTACCTGCACAAACATGCTTTGTGTTAAAGCTGAAACAGCCCTGAAAAATCTCAGCTCTTACCAAACTTTCCCTTCGCTTCTTTAGATGTACCCGCCATCTTTATCTTGGCAACCTCAAAGAAGTCTTTGATTTCTCGCTCATATAGTCTGCTCATATAGTCAACGTAAGTCTGAAAAACAAGACACTGGTTCAGTTGAATAAAAAGTTGCATTATAAAAACTGTATGATCTTAGTGAAAACAACATACACACAGGTCTATACAGAAAATGATGAAGTCAGATGCAAGGTATTAGCTTATGCAACTCTTTGCTAATGGCTGGAACAACACCCACACTACAAGTTTAGAAGAGAAGAAAGAAGTTCAGATGGTGTGGAACAACCCAGCAACTAACAAGGTGCAGGTCTGCCAAAAAATGAAAGTTCCCAAAAGTCCTACAGTAAACGGGAAACTTTATAAAGTCAACTCAAGTTTGCAGCCTTTCATCTAGACCAAAATAATTTTTATATGAAAGTTTTATGACAAATGATGTGTAGCCACTGTGATCATATTGGAAATTTGAGAAAGTGAATGTGATGCATGAGTTCCTGTTAAGAGCCGAGCTGCAGCATTTTGGACAAGCTAGAGACGTGAAAGGGAGACCTGATCTGACCCCAACATAGAGCGCATTACATTATTTCTAGTCGGGTTGTAATGAATGCATGGACTCTTTTTTCAAGGTCAGATCTGGACAATACAGACTCAAGTTTAGCTATCTGCCTTAACTGAAAGAAGCTTTTCTGCAGAACAGAGTTAATCTGTTTATTAAACTTAAAGTCAGAGTCTAAAACCACCCAGAGATTTATAACAGACTGCTTAAGATATGGCTCAAGAAAGTCCAGGTTTACAAGAACAGAGACAGCAGTAAAAAAGGTTTGGATAACAAGAAAAAGGTTAAATCATGTCATCTTCTCCCTTAAAGAAACTGGTCCAGATGACATGATTGAACCTTTTTTGTTAGAGACAGCAGTAGAGCTAGGGCTTGACACAATGACTTCAGTTTTCTGATCATTAAAACTTGAAGCCATCCATGCCTTGATGTCATCAAAACATTTTAACAGACGGTGAATGGAGCAAAAGCTGTTGGGTTTTAAAGGCAGATAAATCTGACAATCGTCAGCATAGCAGTGAAAAGAAAGAGCATGTTTCCTCAGGATAGACCCCAAAGGAAACAAATAAAGTGAAAACAGAAGGAGTCCAAGAATCGAGCCCTGTGGAACTCTGCAGGAAAGAGGCACTGAAACAGATACAGTAATATATTACCAACATTAACACAAACGCTCCTGTAACTCAGATAAGACGGGAACCATTCTAATGCTACACCTGTAATCCCAATCCAGTGTTCTAACTGCAATATAGGGATACTGTGGTCAACAGTATCATATCAAAGCAGTATCAAAGATAGATTGCACAAACAGGACATAATAATGAAGAAATGTTTTAGTTAGTCAGCACCATCAGCTTATATTTGTTTCATTCATTCAACCTTTATTTATACAGGCTAATCTCATTAAGCCACGAGGACTCATTTACAAGAGGGACCTGTTCCAGACAGAACATATAAAGTACAGACAACAACAACAGTAAACAATGACAACATTAAATTTGATGTTGCCGCTGCTCAACAAATCTTTTATCTTTTAATCTAAATGGAGATCTGAAAATAAGATTTTAAGAAGCCACATCTCAATCTCACTCTTCAAGTGTTTTAAGAGATAATCCCTCTTACCCTTGACAGGCCTTCATACTTTTCTCTGTGGGTGTTCTTCAGCCACTCCATGAGCTTGGCATAGCGCAGCAGGTCGCGATGGAGGGGGCTGTGTTTGGGCAGGGTCAGTTCAGCTGTGTGTTGTGACAAGGTGGAGCTCTGATCATGGCCCTGGAAACAAGACAGAAACAGAAATAATTTCAAAAGCACACCATTTTACAAGAGTATAATGATAATTATGAGTCTGTTTTTTTCATGTTGATACATTCATTTCAATTCAGTTTATTTATACGGTGCCAAGTCCCAACAGAAGTCGTCTCAGGGCACTGAATAAAAAGATTCACATACATTATAAAAGCAAATTAGAACTCCAGACTTAGCTTGTTTTTTTTTTTAACAATTTTCTATTTCTTTTTCTCCTCAGTGTTAGCATGTTTGTTCTTGTCTGGTTTTACTACAAGACATGCACAGAGAGCAGACAGGTACAGCAGTTGATGAAATGAGACTGCTACAGCTAAGCTATGAGAATAAAAAGCCTTCAGCTGAGTCACTCGGGGAAGGAGGAAAAAGATGGACGCAGCCTCTTAAACTTTGAGATCAGGTGAGAGATGTTAAGAAATTAAAAACATTCATCATGCAACAAATAATGTTCTGTGAAGAAAAAACTTTACATCTCATAGCATGTAGATTAGTAAGAAGTGACAGGTCAAACATTAGCAAAGGGGGGCATGGGGAGGTTGATGTGAGGGTACTCACTGGAAGTGAAAGACAGGAAGACCTATAATACTGAGGGATGGTCATTTTGAAGTGACTGAAGTGGTTGAACTGACACAGAGACAGAAAGCAGAGTGGGATGCTTCAAAGTGGGCAACAGAGTCAGAAACAGAAGGGATACAGCTGGAAGGAAAATCACACAGGAACGCCAGGAAAACTGTCGGCTAAACAGGACATCCATGGAAAACAGAAAGAGCAGGGTACACCAGGGTCCTCTTTGTTACAGCTGCTAAAAGGGCTGGACTCTTATTTCTGCTCCCAGTAGTTCACATTTATTCTAATGGTCATATTCAGATATATAAAAGCACAAAAGATGCAAAATCACGTGTCTTGAAAATAATATTTTTTTCTGTAGCCGCAAGGTTTTTCCATCAGAAAACAAAATCAGGCAAAAATAATTTACATGAGAACATAATTATATCAAATTTCAGCTTGACCCAGTCAGATCAGGTACATCCCAGAAGATCAAGCAATGCTAATGAAGTTTTAACAAGTAGATCAATACTGAGCCTTTTACCTGGTGAACAAACACGTTGTTGAGGTGATTGGTGAGGCGGCGAGCAAAGGTATCCCTCAGCTCGCTAAACAGGAGCTGTTGCTGATTCACAGCTTTCAGTTTTTCGTGGCCTACAGGAGGAAAGCAACAACCATTTTATTTGACTGACTGCTCAAAAATCAACTACATGTTGATTCTGTCAAGCAGAAAATATTTAAAGAATTTTGATTGTCTTCTAATCAAATTCAGATTTGATTACTGATAGTCCCACTCAGCCTAATCCAAAATGCCCTGCCAAATCATCTCTTCTAGATCTCATCATCACAAACATGCCACATAAATACAATGGGTTAAGTGTTTTTACAAATGATCTAAGTGACCACTGTGTAGTTGTTGCTATTAGAGATACAAAAATGCCTCGTTTCAAACCTAGAACAATTCTAAAACGGAATATGAAGGTTTTTTTTGTGAACAAGTCTTTATCTGTTCCACTTTGACTGGCATTGCAAATCTTTAATTGACAATGTGAACATTGGTTGGAACTATTTTTACAATAGTTTTATTCATTTTGTAAATAAACAAGCTCCACTTCACCAGTTCAGAATAAAGGGCCGGGATAACCCCTAGTTTACTTCTGAGTTAGTTGACCTCTTGCACAGGAGGGACCAGCTTTGGGCAACAGCATAACAGTATGGTTTAGACACCCATTGGTTATAATTTCGTCACTTACGGAATCGCTGTAGAGCTTCCATTATTATTATTTTTTTTCCCCTCTCTTTTAAAGCTTCCATTAAAGCAGCGCAACAAAACTACTATTTATCTCAATGGCAGCACTCACTCATCTGACCTGCCACCACAATTATTTGTCGACTCTGTTCCTGTGTCAGATAACCATGAGATGTTAAAATTGTTTCAACAAAACATTTTGTTGCCTCCAGTTCCTTGTTTGATACAGTTTCTAAAAGTAAATCAACTACTCTACCAACAAGTCAAAGCTCAGTAAACCATACATTCTCTTTTTCACCGTTCTCTGTCAGTGAGGTTACTAAACTGTTAAAAGATCTGGATACTATAAAATCTGCAGGCCCTGATGACCTCCCTCCTTACTTTGTTTCTAGCTGCACAAATTATAGAAGAACTGGTGTCATACATATTTAATCTGTCTATAAACATAATACTGTCCCAAATGCTTGGAAAACAACTTTTGTTCTACCATTATTGAACGGACGAGACCCACTATACTGAACAATTATTGACCAATCTTCAAACTTTATTTTTAGCTGAGGTTTTAGAAAAACTGATAAATACTCAAGTCAAGAAGTATTTGGACTCAATATTTTATCTTCTCTCCAACCTGGCTTCAGGAAACAACACAGCACAATGACTGCTTCACTAAAGGTTTTTAATGATGTTATTGAAGCTTTGGAGGCTAAGAATTATTGTGCTGCACTTCACTTAGACCTGTCCAAAGGCTTTGATACTGTAGATCAAGGGAGTCAAACTCTAGGCCTCGAGGGCCGGGGTCCTGCAACTTTTAGATGCGTCTCTGATGCCACACAGCTGAATCATACGACTGAATTAGCTTCTCAGTGCAGACAAGTTCTCCAAAGTCCTGCTAATGACCTCCTTATTTGATTCAGCTGTGTGGCACATCTAAACTTTGCAGGACTCGACCCTCGAGGCCTGGAGTTTGACACCTCTGAGTGTAGATCATGACATCGTATGCCACAAGCTCTCAGATATTGACTTCTCAGATCACACTGTTGGCTGGCTCTCAAACTATCTCTCAGGTCAGAGGCAATGTGTTCGACATAACGGTACTTCATCTAGCTACCTAACGGTCACTAATGGTGTGCCACAAGGCTCAGTTTTAGGACCCACTCTTTTTACAATTTATATAAATAATCATGTAGGTCAAAACATTCCTGACACATTGTTGCATCTCTATGCTGATGACATTGTTGTTTATTGCCGAGCTAACACTGTTGCCAAGGTTTTCCAGCTTCTACAGTCTGCATTTGGCATCATTCAGTCTGACTTATTCCATCTCAAACTTGTGCTAAATGTTGATAAAACCAAAGGGATGTTGTTCTCAAACAGAAAGTCGGTGCCAGCAACTCTTCTTCCTCTCTTATCCATGCATGGTGTTCCTACTGAGTTTGTAGATTCTTACAAATACTTGGGAATTTTGGTTGATGTACATCTCCCTTTTAAACCACATATCAAAAACTTGATAAAGAAACTGAAATTAAAATTGGGTTTCTTTTTCAGAAATAGATCTTGCTTAACTCTGAACACCAGAAAACACCTTATAGCTGCTACTTTCCTTCCGGTCATTTACTATGGGGTAGAGGCAGGGCAGCTGACTCGAGACCCGAAAGTCCCAGGTTTGATCCTCAGTCATTGCACATCTTATGGTGTCTCTTAGCAGGACACCCTATTCCCAATTGCTCCCCGGGCACTTTCAATAGCTGCCCACTGCTCCAAATGGGGGTGGATGGGTTAAATGCAGAAGCAAATTTTGCCATTGTATGGGAACATACAATGATGACAACACACAACACATTATTATTATTACTGTGGTGACATTATTTACATGAATGCCCCTGCCAGCTCCTTGCAGATGTTGGATGCTATCTACCATGGTAAATGGTAAATGGACTGTACTTTTATAGCGCCTTTCTATCTTATCAAGACATTCAAAGCGTTAAGATTCATGACTGGTTGTAACTACCGTACCATCACTGTACTCTGTACTCACTGGTCAGTTGGTCATGATTATCTACATGTAGGATCTCACACTGGTTCATTTTAATCTATAAATCCCTCCTTGGTCTGCTACCTTCTTATATCTCCTACCACGTCACACCGTCAGTGCAGTTACAGCGTGCGCTCTCAGGCCATCATTACCTGCAGCGTTCCCTCAGTGTGGACTGAACTTGGCAAAAAAGCCTTTTCCTACTCTGCTCCTGCAACCTGGAACACCTTGCAACAGAAACTGAAGCTGTTCCTGTTAAAGCAATCCCCTAAATTAATTTCTTTAGGGTTTTTTAAACATTTGATCATGTCGATAGAAAAATCAAAGCAAATATGTTCTTGATTTTAGTATTTTACCTTGTTTTACAACACTAATTTATTGTTTTATAACACTACTTTTATTTTAACTGCATTTTTACTGTAGTTTATTGTTTATTGTTATCGTTGTCTGTATATGTTCTGTCTGGAACAGGTCTCTCTTGTAAATGAGTCCTCGTGGCTCAATGAGACTAGCCTGTATAAATAAAGGTGGAATTAATTAAAAAAAAGGTTGAATGAATTTATTACTTTAAAATTGGAAACCAACCTGGTCGCAGAGCCACATTCATGCACTGCAGCAGAGCCTCTGAAGCATTGATGCAGGCTTCTATACCTTTAGGGGAGGTAAGGTCACCCTCCTGCAGGGCCCTGATGTGTCCTTTAGACAAGTCCATGTAGTTCTACAAGCACAAAGACCAACCAGACTTAACCAACAAACCACACAAACACATCACAACAGTCTCATCCAATTTATTAAATCAAATGTATGGACAGAAAAATATTACAAACTAGAAGTGTTATTGTGGAGTAATGAATGACTTTGGAAAAATTTGTTGAAAAATACATTGTTTAAAGTTAAAACAAGTAGAACAGCTAAAATCAGTGAAACTGTAGTTAAATAGAAAAGTAAAAAAAAAAATATATAGCTAAAAACTAAAATGAGAAAAACTGTAGCTAAAAGCAAAAGTTAGCAAAATAGTAGCTAAGAGATAAAATTACCAGTATAATAGCTAAAAGCTAAATATAGCAAAGTAAATAAAAACTACAGTAGTCCCTCGCTACTTCGTGGTTTGTTTTTTGTAGATTCACTATATCGCGGTTTTTCAAAGTAAGACTGGACATGACACAACTGGCTGATTGATGATGAGCCATGGATTGTTTATTTACAATAAATTATTTTAAATATATTTGCACCATGTGTGCAGCCAAGTGAAGAGAAAGCTCCCTCCTGCAGCTGATCAGCTGATCTCCTTCTCTGCCACACACTTTCTGCTGCTGCAGCAGCTTTGTGAAGGGTTAACCCTTTGCTGTCCAGATGCACAATCAACTTTTGTCTTCCAACTTAAAATTCAAAGTCTGTCACATCATAAAATCGTCATAATCACAAAATATAAAAGTGTTAAAAGTTATTTTCAATTATTTTAGAACTTCTATGTCCAGTTGTTTCAGTGTCATTGATCAAGAAGTAAATTTCTGCTCCGTGCTGCAGAGCTGTGTGACATCCTTTGATGTCCTGCTGCTTCTCTCTTCTCTACAATTTAAATACTGGTACTGTAACATTTAAAATAAACAATACATGGATTGTTTATTTTAAATGTTACAGTACCAGTATTTAAAAATGTTAAGTTATTTATTTATGGAGGGAGATTAGGAGTAAAAGGTGAGGAGTGTGATTGCAGCCTGGCACATGTCATGGACTGTAAATGGTAACTGGACTGTACTTACTGTATACAGCTCCTTTCTATCTTATTTCAAGATACTCAAAGCTCTTTACAACAATCTGTGTCCTCATTGACCCATTCATACAGCTCTATACTAGATCACTGCAAAGCTAATTGAACAAATCATTCTAAAAAGACTAATCAGAGCTTTATCACATTCATACATCGATGGGACACACATCGGAGGCAATTAGGGGTTCAGTTTCTTGCCCAGGGACACTTCAGCATGTGATTGCTGGTGGATTCGAACCCCCAACTCTCTCATTGGAGGTCGACTGCTCTAACCACTCAGCCACAGCTGCCCCATGACAAAGTTTACTGAACTCGAACTGAACTTGTACTAATGTATCCCTACTTCACGGTTTTTCACTTATTGCGGGTGGGCGTGGTCTCAAACATCTGCAATACTACTGCACTACTGTACAATCACCAAAACCAGAGGTAAAAGCTAAAATTAACAGGAAAATATCTACAAGCTAAATATAGCAAAATGGTAAATGAAAACTGAATTTAGCAAGACAGTAGTTTAAAGCTAAAAATAGCTAAACTGTAAGTAAAATTCAAATTAACAAGACAGCAGCTAAAAGCTAAAAGGAGCATAAAAAGACTGAAAAGAGCAAATATGCTGAAGTATATTTCAGAGAAAATGTTTTTGGATTGAAACTGAATGTTGTAAAAAGAAGTTAACTTCAAAATAAAAAAGTACAAATACTAAATCTTGGGCGGCTGTGGCTGAGTGGTTAGAGCAGTCGTCCTCCAATGCAAGAGTTGGGGGTTCGAATGCACCAGCAGTCACATGTCTAAGTGTCCCTGGGCAAGACACTGAACCCTTCACTGCCTCTGATGTGTGTCCATCAGTGTATGAATGTGATAAAGCTCTGATTAGTCTCTTTAGAAGGATTTGTTTAATTAGCTTTGTAGAGATCTAGTATAGACCTGTATGAATGGGTAAATGAGACACAGATTGTTGTAAAGAGCTTTGAGTGTCTCTATAAGATAGAAAGGAGCTGTATAAGTACAGCCTATTTACCATTTTAAATCATACCACTACTGCTGACCAAGCTGAACATTAAAAAAGAAAAGTTAAAACAGCACAAACTGTGGAAGTAGTTTGATTACAAAAAGCGTACAGAAAATACTTTAAACGGGGAACTAAAGTTAGTGTGTCCGTGTTTTTAGCAGTACTTTCAATATATTCGCTCAGATTAAAATGTCTCACCACTAAGAACTGGATCTCGTCCAGCAGTTTGCCGTTATTGGTGTTGCTGATCTGGATAAGACGGTTGCTTTGTGAGATCTGGTCCATCTGGTCCTTGACACTTTGAAGCATCTCCTCATAGCTGCTCAGTTTCCCCTCGATGGTGTCCACTTCTGACAGAGCCTCGTCCAGAAGCTGCATCAGGATGTTCACCTGCTTTTCTGATGCCATGATGGACTGAATGTTGGCCTAAATAAAGAGGTGCCGTTAGTTCATCAATAAATAGAAACAACTATTAAAAGAAACCATTCTGGTTGATCATATTCAAGAACCCCGCACTTGTCAGCTTTTAACAGGAAGTAAAGTTGCTTTGCTCACCCCGTCTAAAACTTGCAGCTCCTTGAAGAGCTTCTCTGCGAAGGCTTCTGCGTTTGAGACGGCGTACTCGCACATCTCCATCATGTTCTCGATGTCCTGCTCCTCACGAGTGCTGAGCTCCTGGTAGTCGTCCAGGGCATCCTCATCGCCTCCCGCAACACTTTGACTCTCACCACTGGGCACAGACTCTAAGTCCGTAAAAAAATAAAATTAAAATAAAGAAAGCACAAGCAAGCCATAAGCAAATACAGACATCAAGATCAATTCTATTTTCAAAGTCAGACTTTTAACACTACTGAAAGGAGAACTACAACTAATGTATGAATGTAAATAAATATCCAAATATTTTAACTAAATGAAAATCTTATTTAATACCAGAGGTAAACATGTAGTGGGAATATGAACAAAAACTAAGAACAGTTGTAGGTAGTGGCATGAGGTAAAAAAGTAAGAAGCATTTATACATTCTGCATGTTTATTAGCCAATTAGCCACTAAATCTTTACAATTAGTCAAAACTTTGCAGATACAGTGTATAGTAGAAATGATGAGAATAAACTAGTCACAATGGATTAATGAGCATATGCTACTAAAATTAAATTTATGATTTAAAAGTCAAATAGCACTTAAAAAAATAAAATGAGTTTTTGTGGTATCTTGTACTGAAAACATAATCATACCCTCCATGTTTTATAACATACTGTCATTGAAATGACAAGAATCATGAGAAATTGAGAGTTTCTGATGAAAATGGTGGTTGGAGGTCATGAAAATACAATGAAGAGGTGTGAGGAGGGGAAAGATTAGTCCTACCAACCTTCCGCTTTAGGAAGTTCTGGCCAGAGAAAGTTTAAAAGGAAACAAAGTGAGAATAAGGAAGAATTTAACACTGAAAATTATAACACAAACTACGACACAGACAAGCAAAATATTCTGAAAACATGCTCTTAATGAATAAAAGCCAGCTAACTTCAGAACAGATTTAAACGTCTGTAAAAATTAAAAACTTTGGTCAAAGCTACTGGCTTAGGAGAAAAAGATGCTCCTTTAAAGAAATCTAATGAAATCATACGGGGCATGCAGGCCCAGTGGAGTCTGAGGACCGAGCATTTACACACCTTCAAGCAGCTGAGAGCTGACATTCACAAACTCCAGCTTCTTCCTCAGATAACGCTGGTTCAGCTTCCAGATACAGGAAATGAAGGAGTTCTTTTCAGCTGTGCTGCTAGCCAACCACCGATAAACCTTCTCAAAGTGAAGATCAAATTCAGGATTTTCCTACAAAGTTAAACAGAAGATGCATTAGTCCTAACCGTGAGGGGGAGAAAAATCCAGACACAAAATGATTGGAAGAGACTGTAATCACTGACCTTGCTTGCATCTTTGGCATCTACTGTGGTCAGATCTCGCAGCTCCCAGGTCTGTTGCCTCTTGTAGAAATCCCCTTTGTCAGATTTTTTCACCTTAACCACTTTAACCTGAACAGGCCTCTCCGTGGTAACTACAAGACACAAAAGTTTCTTCATTTAGAGACAAAGTCTTTCATAAACGATAATTTAGATGCTTCTGGAGTCCTTACTACTACTACTGCTACTGATTATCCATGCTGCTGATCTCATGATGCTGATCTCATGCTGCTGTATTCATTCTTACCCATCTGCTCTGTAGTGAACACGTGGGTACGTGCCACTAGTTGTAGTATGACAATATATGAGATATATATTGATACAATATTCACGAGTTCCTCATCTTTCTGACTGTGTAATGTCGTGCATTGAATTTAACAGAAATGTAACGAGAGACGTCATTTATCTTTGACCCATCAAAAAGAATGCGGTCATTTATTTTCAGAATCAAAGTTTAACATCAAACATTTACATTAATTTGGCAAAATATGAAAATAATAACAGACAAGTTTCACAGAAAATGAGCATCGATCACTCGGCGGTGAACGAGGACTTTGCTTCAGATATTTCTAAAATATCTGTACTGATTTTATGAGAAAGAGGAGAGTTTTAAGATGACATGGAGATTTATCTTACAGAGAACTATGTGAGGGAATTAATCTGTTTGACCAGAACGTGCACGCTTCATCAGATCTCAGCTCGCCTCCGGTACACTTTAGTCGAAGAAGAGACCGTTACCTGGTAGATGATAGATCAGCTCGATAGAGAATCCTCCAGACCTTTCAGCGTCTCCGTTGAGAGCGGCTGAAATCCTTAGATAGTCGTGTGTGGTTTGTTCAAACAGAAGTTATAATTCCAAAACGTCTCTGGACCATCTTGAATGCGTTTGCACCCAAGAATACTGAACTCCTTTCATTTTTCAGAACTTTTCAGACTCTTAATTGTCAGCAACTCTGTACTCTCGAATCCTCCGGAATTCTTCTGAATTCTCTTCCCTTCTCACATGAACTGGGAAGTTGCCACATTTAAAATGGGTCGACTTCCGGTTCATTTGAGAGCTTTTGATTGGTCGATGGACCAGAAAGAGGTGTGTTTTTGTGATGTAAGATGTTATCATAAGTCAAGGATTGTTTTCAACATACAGAAAAGATTATTGCAGACGACCAGACTTCGTGGAGTCTCACGCTGTTGTATCTTCTCAAATAGTAAAACATGACATTTCTTTTTCAGTAAACATTTAGTTGACCGAAGCTTCAACTTTCACATACTTACATTACTTGGCTCATTTCAGACAGAGAATCAAGAAATGCATATTAACCTGATTTCTTCTTTAAATGAGGAATAAAAATCATTACTTACTGTTTATGTAAAATAAAAATGAGTAGTTCTTTCCAACCTGTAAGCATTGAATGGAACTAACACAATTTGATTATCAAACATTTGTAAAACAGTAAATGATTATAGAGAATTGTCTTTTCTGCTTGATTAATTCAAGAAAGAAAGTCACCAGATGGCTCAGACTGTATTCAGATCAATGAAAATAACAGTCTCTGTCCATCTGATAGATTTGAGGTCATCAGGGTCAGATCAGGGTCAGATCAGGTTCACTACAGCTCACACAGACTCATGTTCGGGCTGCTGTTGATATGCCGTATGTTTTATATTATTAGTGTTTAGTGTATATCTTAGATCTGTTAGCGTACCGTTTGGCGTTCGTTTAGCGTATATCTTAGTATACATTTTAGATCCTTATTTACTGTTTCTTTTTATACTTTATATGTTTGCTATTGTTGGATGTAACTAGGACCCTGTGCACATAATTTCATTCCACCTCTTGTACCACATGTGTTGAAATTCCTACTTGAACTTGTCTTGAACTTACAAACATACCTGTAGCACACAGAAAGCAGTTTTTCTTTTTCTTTCCTGCCTTGCAAACATTAACGATGCTGAGGAGACGCTCATCGTTGGGTGTGAAGATGTCCCTCTGGAGGGCGTGCTTGATGGCTGTCATGGCAGATGCTGTCAAACATTGAGCACACGTTGATTATTACAAGAGACATCCATCAGAGGTCTATCAAAACTAGACCTAGATTTTTAATAACACACATCCTAAAACTGTTGGAGTCAGCCTCCCCACCATCACAGACATCTACACCTCCAGATGCAGGAAGAGGGCCACCTGCATCATGAAGGACCCCACTCACCCAGCACACACACTTTTTGTCCCGCTCCCCTCAGGAAGGAGGTTGAGAAGCATTAAGTGTAGAACCACTAGACTGAGGAACAGCTTCTACCCTGAGGCTGTTAGACTCATGAATCTCTAACCAGAATAATCACTGTGAAAAATCACATCATGTTGCTGCTGATCAGTTTCATGTTGCTGCTGATCAGTTTCATGTTGCTGCTGATCTGTTTCATGTTGCTGCTGATCTGTTTCATGTTGCTGTGTTCATTCATACTCATCTGCTCACACAGACTCATGTTCATGCTGCTGTTTGGCATATCATTTTTATTAGGGGTGCACCGATTGCAGTTTTCTGGCCAATCACCGATTTCTAAAAAGTCTGACCTGCCGATTCCGCTTTTGGCCGATACTGATTTTGTTGTATAAGCGACACTGTCAGGTGTTATAAGGTCACAATGCACCTTCAATTTTCCAGTCTTATTTTATTGAAACACATACCCTTTCTGGGTGGAGTTTATATTTTCTTTTTGACAGCACGATGGATCAGTGGTTAGCACTGTTGCCTCACAGCAAGAAGGTCCTGGGTTCTATCCCAAGTTGGACCTGTGGCCTTTCTGGGTGGAGTTTGCATGTTCTCTCCGTGCATGCGTGGGTTTTCTCCAGGTGCTCCAGTTTCCTCCCACAGACCAAAAACATGCATGTTAGTCTGATTGGTAACTCTAAATTGTCCCTAGGTGTGAGAGAGAGAGGGAAAGGTTGTTTATCTCGTTTGTCTCCATGTGTCCCTGTGATGGACTGGAGACCTGTCCAGTTTGTCTCCATGTGTCCCTGTGATGGACTGGAG